ACCCTGTTAAACTCCTTTCTAAGCTAATCATGCTGGGGCCAATGGGATACTCATGCTATCAGCAATGGCTTTCTGCAGTTTTCTGTCCTCTGGGTAGCAGAAACAATTTCCTGACCACGGTGATCCTGAAAGCTAGTTGTAAACCCTGAGCTATAGTCATCCATATTCTTTCTCACTTCCAGGAATGATGATGCCCAGAGCGCCTTGGAAGCCATTTTGAAGAGGGCAGAGATGACAACAGGCTGGGTCTACACGAAGGGGCACTGCCTGTCAATATGGAATACCCATGGTTGATTCTTGTGTGAGCAAGAAAGAAATTGTATCTGAGCCATTAAATTTTGGTTCTAATCAGTAATTTGACCTAACCATAGTAGTACAAAAGTTGTAGTATGCATCTAGCTACTGGTAATTCCTAGAGTTTGTGGGCAGGCAACTGGGCTTACAAATGGTGTCTGAGCATCTGAGAGGTTGCTGTAGTTACATTTTCCCCAGGATGGTAGCTGCATGGGCAGGCAGATTTCTGAAGGGAACCATTTTGACGTTTCTCCTAGGCTCAGTACAGTTGAATCCTCCCGGGCAGCTAAATCATGTGTTCAGTACAGCATGGCGGGCAAGAAGACCTGGCATGAGGATCACCTTGTTTTTTTCCTGCAAAGTCATGAATAATGTGACATTGAACAATGCCCATTCCTTTACTACTGTTCTCCCCAGAAACCCTCATGCAATGGAGGAAGGAACAGGGGAGGGAGGAACATTGGCTGAGAAGTCAAGTGGAATGGGTCCTAGTTCCAGTCTGTTAATGACTCCCTGAAGAGTTTTTTCCCTCCTTGGGCCTCAGACTCTTCACCCCAGAAGGGAATTGTTAAGGGGTCTCAGAAGTGAGACTCAGAGAACACACCTGCTGTGTCTTTGTGTGTGTGTGTGTGTGTGTGTGTGTGTGTGTGTATGTGTGTGTAGGTAGATATGCGTTTAAGGAAATTCTCCTGCTTGAAAGCCACAGCTGCTAAACCAGAGGGTTGCTCAAATCTTCTTTTGACTGAAAGCATAGTCTGAGGACCGGCAGTAATAGCATTGTCTGGGAGCTTGTTAGAAATGCAGAATTTCAGGCCCTTTACAGAAGTATTGAATCAGAATCTCCAATTTAACAAGATCCTTAAGGGGATCCCAATGTGCATTCAAGTCTGAGATGCACTGCTCCAGAGGACCTGGGATAAGACAAATGTCAGCCTGAAAAAAGAATGAGATTTGAAGTCAGGAGACCTAGGTGTTAGTTTTAATTGTGCCACTCACTGGCTGTCCAAATTGGGCAAGTCATGTAATCACCCTGATCCTTTTTTTGTAAATAGGGTGCTCTAATAACTGCAGAATGGTGTCAAGATCAATGGTGTATGTTCTGGAGCCAAACTGTCTAACCTTAAATCCTGAGTTCATTTATCAGCTATGAAGCTTTTGGCGAGTTGCCTGATATCTGTGGGCTTCAGTCTCTTTATCTGTAAGACAGGGTATCATAATAATGACAAAGGTTGAGAATTTTTAAATGGGCTGGGTGCGGTGGTTCATGTCTATAATCCCAGCAATTCGGGAAACTGAGGCGGGCTGATCACCTGAGGTCAGGAGTTCAAGACCAGCCTGGCCAACATGGCGAAACTCCGTCTCTACTAAAAATACAAAAATTAGCTGGGCGTGGTGGCATGCGCCTGTAATCCCAGCTACTCGGGAGGCTGAGGCAGGAGAATCGCTTGAATCCAGGAGGTGGAGGTTGCAGTGAGCCGAGATCACGCCACTGCACTTCAGCCTGGGTGACAGAATGAAACTCTGTATTAAAAAAAAAAAGATTTTAAAATGAAGTAATTAATGTAAATCACATAGCACAAGGCCTGGCATCATCTAAATTCACTGTACATCTTATTATACTCTGACTTCCTGTACTATCTTTCAAGAACAGAAAGAGACCTCTAAAATAGAGCCACCTGGAGGCTAGCTGAAGACTCCTACCTTTGGTGTTTATCATAGTATATATAACTCTCAACAATGGGCACAGTCACTCAAAGACTGGAGCTCTAACCTCTGAGCCACCAGACAGGCATGAGATTGGTTTCATGATATTATCTTAGGCAATCAACCAGTTCCCCTGCATGTATTCCCCATTCCTTTGTTGTCTATTCCAGTTACACTCAACTCTAGATACTCCCTTCCCTGTGAAAATCCACAGAGCAGCCATATACAGAGCAGTGCCATCCAGGTAGGAGATGACCACTTGTAACTGGCTTTCCTTTCCCTACAGGAACTCACACAGTTCAGAAAATGGAATGTCATCAAGGCATTGCCTGGTGGGCCTGTCGCCACACTTACTGGAGGGAAAGGATCTAGGATGAGGGAGGTTCCAGGGACCATCAGCAACATGCCAAACCACAGCAAGAAATCAAGCATGACTCAGCTCCTGCCCACTGCAATTACTCAGGACCTCTGCCCTTCAGATGTGGAAAAAGCCCAGCAGTGACTTGCAGTAACTGCTGCTGAGGTCTGGAACTTCCTGACAACCTTGCAAGTCCTTTGATAAGGGGAGGCTCAAACTGGATTTCAGAAGGCCCACCGCACCAGGATGACTGAAACAAACTGTGGACTGGGTATCAATGCAAATAATATTGTAGCATCAGGAATAAAATAAATTTCAACTCAATAAGAAGCCTCTGCAGGTGGATACAAGTGGTGATCCTGGGCAAATTTGGTGCCAGGCACAGGCACACCTGTGCAAGGAAATGGCAAAAGGGAAGCCCACAGTATGGAAAAGTCCAAAAGGGGCACCAGCATGTTTCATAGTGTGGGAGAGAGGAAAATGAAAACACCATTTACCAGGTGCCTGCCAAGGGCTATTCCTGGGCCTGCAGCTCTAGAGATGTTCCTCTGAACAAAACAGGAGCCATCTAGGACAGGTGGTGCTTGGCTATGACAACGAGGAGGGAACTTAAGTCCAACGGGTCAGTAAGTGATGGATTTGAGTCTTCTCTTCTAATGGATTAGTAGATCCCAACAGTTAATACGGTGGGGGTTGGAAAAACTTTCCTGTGTTTCATGATACCCAAATGCCAGTGTCATGAATGGTAAATGCTAGCATCCCAGTAACGGTGTGCCCTTCATGAAACCCCATCCAAAGATTCAGCCCCTTCTCCTAATGTTCAAGCACCTGTTCCTGCAGAATCGGGATATGAAGAGAGGCTGGCAAAGGCCACAAACCAGGTACTTCTGCAGCTTGCGGGAGGGCGGAGGTTGGGGCGGTTTCTATGCTGTCCACAGGACACTGTCACACTAACTCTATTAATCCTTTCCTACCTAGAGATAATGATACGAGAAAAGAAAGTTATCAGTTCACCTCTCCTCTAGAAATAAATAGGGTGGTATCTCTGAACCTGGCCATCGTTAACAGACACAAATAAAATACAGAGTGGGCAATAATGCAATGCACATACGCCCAAGACAAAACGGGCTGGCACAAATAAGGAAAGGGGCTTCATTTCTGAAAATACCAGCTCCACTTAATACTGGATACTCTCCTGCCTATGGAAATCCACAGGAGCAGTTGCAGAGAGCACAGCATGTTTCATAGTGTCGGGAGAGGACAGTGACAACTGACATTTACCAGGTGCCTGCCATGCGCTATTCCTGGGCTTGAGGCTCTAAAGATGTTCCTTTGAACAATAACAGCAGCCATCTAGGATAGGTGGTCCTCAGCTGTGGGAGAAAAGGGGGAAATGAGGCCCAAGAAGCTAGTAAGTGGTGGATTCCAGTCTTCTCTTCCAATGGATTATTAGACATCAATGTCCCAAGCAGGGTGTTTCTTAATTTTTGAATACTAACATCATGAATAGCAAATGCTGGCATGGCAATAAAATCGTGCCCTGCATCTGGTCACATCTAAAACATCAGTCCCTTCTCTTTCTGAAGAAATACCTGTTCCTGCAGAATCAGGATATGGAGAGATGCTGGTCAGGGCCACAGACCAGGTGCTTTTGCAGTTTGCAGTTTATTGTCCTCAGGACACTGTCATACTATTAGCCCTTTCCTGCCTAGTGATAGTGATGTCTCAAAAGAATGTTATCAGTTCACCTCTCCTCTAAAAACAAATAGGTTGGTATCTCTAAACCTGGCCATCAGCAACACATACACATGCAATTCTGAATGAGCAATAATTTACTGCTCACATGCCCAAGGGAAAACAGGTTCTTTTCCTAGGACTTGTACAGGAGGCTTAGACAGGGTGACTTCCCAGGGGATGGCTGTACTGAGTTTGCAAATTTGGGCTGAGACTCATTCAAACTACCTGGGGAATGCAAGTTAACCTGCAGAGGAGAAAGAGAAAAAGGAGAAAGACCCATGTTCAAATGGAAATTAAATACATATCTGATGGATTCCATGATCAGCTTTGACACTTTCATCTATAAACAGTGTCTGGAACCAGTCGGCTCCAGCACAGAAGGGACTGCTTTGTACCTGGTGGAGACCCTGCCACACCTGACCCAAGGAAGCCTGCTTGGTGACCAGGCAGCCACAGAAGGATGAAGAACACACTTGGTCTGTTTCCCCCAGGCCCAGACAGGAAACAGAAAACTTTCCTCAAGGCTACTACAGGCCTTTTTAGGGGACCATGTTGCCACTGGCTGGCAATCTCAGAGAAAACACCTCTCTGCTATTTACAGTGCGTTTTCAAAAAAGTAAAATCTAGATTCTCCCAGGGGTCTAGGATCTCAGGAATTGGAGCCCCTCTACTGAGTAGAGAAAAATCAGAATGAGGGTTTTTTTCCTTATTTCAAGAGATTGCTGGCTCTGCAGCCCAGCTCAAAAGCCCATCCTCCAGGCCACTTCCCCGCCTGAGCCAGACCCCTTGCTCTCATGATTCTCTGAGAGCCAGCCCCATGGTCGGGTTACCTGAGACCCGCCTGGACCTTAGACGGCCGCGCCTCCGAGCGCTATTGACGCCGGAGGCGCGACTCTTTTTCCTATTCCCAGGAGGGGAAAAAAGCGGGAACAATGGCTTTCGCGACAGAGGGACGCGAACACCCAATGCCGCAGCGACTGGCAGGGTCGCGATGCAGGAGGACGAAGTGGGAGAAGGGGCACTTCGGCCTCCCTGCGGGCGGGAGCTAGGCTGCTGGAAAGTCCGCTCGCCTCTCGCCCCAAGGGATGATCCTCTGGGCCTTTTGTACCGCTCGCCACGGAAAATGGTCACAGGCTTTTGTCCCCAAACCGAACACTATTGGAAACACAGGGCCCCTGGAAGCCGCCACGTTGGCCATTGGCGGTGGCGCACCCACCCCCGTGCTACTGCGCGTGCGCAGCGCTGCGACACACTCCGACCCCATCCAGCGTTCGCAGGGGGCGGTGGGAAGCGGAAGTGCTCAGCTGACCCGGGCGGGCGGTTCCTACTTCGCAGTAGCTGTTGTCGTCGGTCTCTGAGGTTTCAGGCTCTTGGCGGTGAAGTAAGAGGGACGCGGAGGTGGTGATAGTTTTAATGGGGGACGGGGGTTGACGGGACCGTGGGGTCATGGGACGCCTTTGTGGGTGACAGGGTGGCTCTACAGCCTAGCTCAAAAGCCCATCCTCCAGGCCACTTCCCCGCCTGAGACAGACCCCTTGCTCTCAGGACCCTCTGAGCCAGGACCAGGGTCGGGTTCCCTGAGACCTGCAGGCCTGTGGGCGTGAGTGCTGGGGGCGAGGTTCGGGGCCAGCAAGTGACTGATTGATTGAGTCACTCGGCCCCTGTTTCCTGAGCTCCTAAAAATGCCAGGCAACCTTGCAAATGTTTCACGTTAATCTTCACAGGAGCCCTGTGAGGTGTTACGATGATTATTTTCATGTTATAGAGAGAAAATGGCTCAGTGTGGCTTGGCAACCTGTCCAAAGTCACGTAGGTAGCAAACCCGAGGAATCCTTTTTCATTTCCTGTGCTTTGTTTGTCATGTTTATTGTTTCCTGTGTGTTTCCCCCGCTAGACTAGAAACTCTGCAGGAGCTGGGACTTTGAGATTTTGTTCACTGATGTATTTCCAGCACGGAGAACGGGCTCATGGAAGGCACTCATTTCTTCAGTGAATAAAAGTGGCACAGCAGTCAATCAGTGGGTTCCAAAGTCCGAACTCAGGAAGGCAGGGTTTTCGTCACTGGGGATAATTGAGCTGTGCATGAATGTTAATTCACTCTTAAAGCTAGAATGAGGCGTTGTCCCTCTTCTGTTGGGTAAAAACCTTTGGATTTTACTCAACTTCACTGCATGGAAGGGAGCATAGGTGTTGCTAATTGAATCTCCTGTGGTCATTGTGTTTCAAGGGTCAGAGTGCAGACCTGAGACCACTGCTCACCGACTTCAGACTCCAGTTTATCTGTGCCCCGGCTTCCTCACTTAGTCTCAGAAGACTTAGGCTGAGGCCCCAGGAGGAGGTGAGTTCCCTGGGTCACAGGCAGAGATCTGGTGCTATAGTGATGGCCCCAGCTGGGGTGTGTTTGTCTCTGAATCCCTTGGTCCTGCCGCCTTGGACATAAGAGAGGTACACTGAGCTGAGGCGAGTTGGAGGAGAAGCCTCAGCCCAGAGTCCAGACCCAGATCCTCAAGGCAGAGAAAGGAGGCTCACAGGACAGCAGGTCCTAGAAGAGCTGGACCCGTAGTGACCTTTGTCCCTCACTTCTGCTGAGACAGAGCAAACTGGCTCAACTTCCAGGTGCCATCGAGGACCATGTGACAGTGCAGTTTGATTCCTACTGGAGGAGGGGCAGGTGAAAGTCACAGGTGAATGGAGGCATGGGTACCCCCACCATGGGGCAGGTGCCCTCCTGTAGTGGCTGCAAAGGCGGGATGAGGCTGGAAAGGATCACAGCCAGCCACAGAGGATTGGCCTCTCCTAGCACACCTATTTGTGCACCCATGCACTTCCTTCTCTTGCCATTGGCTTTTTCTGAATTTGGGTGAGCCCCACATCATCAACCAGGCACCTGCTTCCAGGGGAAATGCGAGTGTCCCTTCATCGTGACCAAAGTGCAGAAAATATGTTTTTAGTTTATAGAATTTCAGAGTAGTCTCTAGGTACGCTGTCATCCAGCTCTGCTGCCTTATTTCAATGTTTAATGAAAGTGGGCTGGGGGACATGACCTGCTAAGCTACACCAAGCTGAACCCTGTTACCTTGATACTGTCGCAGTGATTGCTGCAGTATGCAATGGTTGCTCTGCACAGAAGCTCCTTGCTGGAACTTTCTTTTGAAAAACTGCCAAAGAAGGAGGAGCCTGGTAATCAAAATGCAAATTGTGGGAAAGGAGGAAGTGGTGGGGTGGGGACAGGGTAGGTGGCCAGTTAAAGAGGCAGATGCAGGGGAGCAGGCACAGTGGTTTTCAACCCCTCACAGAACTGACAGTGCTGGGCTGTTACCCACCCAGCCCCACACCTCTCCTCCCCTGCAGCCCTCTGAGCCCTGAGTCCTTCCTCCAAACCACATCAAGAGATCCTACTCATACACACTTGCAGAGGGTCTTTTCACCTCTAGGACTGTTTGATAAGAAGTAATTTTTAATAATTTTTAATTTTTGTTTTACTAGTGATATTCTTTATCAAAAATTGAGAAAATGCAAATAAAAGAAGAAAATTGAAATCACCACTCAATAGTAACCAACATCAGCATTTTAATAAATCCTCTGAGACGTCATATATGTGCATATTGATTATCAGAAATGAGATCACACTGCGCTTGCTTTCTTGGAAGCTGCTTTTAAACACATTAGGAACCAAAAACAAATTCCATAGCATTTTGAAAGCCTGTTCAGTATACCTGCTTTTGCATGTGTCATATTTTTTAACTGTGTCCTCTTTGCTGGACATTTAGTTGCTTCCAATTTTTTTGTTTGTTTATTTGTTTTTTGTTTAGACAGAGATTCCCTCTGTCGCCCAGGCTGGAGTGCAATGGTGCCATCTTGGTTCACTGCAACCTCCACTTCCTGGGCTCAAGTGATCCTCCCACCCAGCCTTCAGAGTAGCAGGGACGACAGGTATGTGCTACCATGTCTGGCTAATTTTTGTAGAGATGTGGTTTCGCCATGTTGCCCAGGCTGGTCTCGAACTCCTGGGCTCCAGTGATCCGCCCACATCGGCCTCCCAGAGTGCTGGGATTATAAGCATGAGCCTCTGCACCCGGCTGCTTCCACATATTAATATTTTAATGGTAGAAATGACTACAGTTAACATTCTTTCAGCTTTTCCACATTTAGAATTGTTTCATTATGACAAATGTCTAGGAATAGAACTCTTAAGATTAAGGAGATGTTAATTGTAACTGGTTTCTAAAGTAGATATCTTTAGACACAAGTCATACATCTGTCCAGTAAGGGAAACAAAATTTCATTTGCGAAACCTACATGATCTTAGTAGAGTTTCATGGAAACAGCTGGAGCTACCAGATCATGTTTTTAGATCTTTCTCCCCAGGGTACAAGGGTAATTATTATCAGGATGGTAATGGTGGTCTAATGGCTGTGCCTACCGAGTGTACTCTCCTAATTTTGCCTTTATAGATCTCCATCCTTTGTCCAGAGCAGAACAGGATGGCCATGTCCCAGGTGAGTTCCTAATTTACCCATACTTTGTTTCCAGTGAAATTGAGGCAAGGTTTGGAATGTATATAGTAGACTTGAAAATACCAATTATCCCCACTTCTCTGGCTGTTTTCTATTCAACTTGTTCTCAGCCTCTGGTTTCTCTAATCCTTCCCCTCACCAGGAGAGAGGAAAGACAAAAACATTCCTCTCTGTACTTCTTGTTCTTTTTTTTTCTTTCTCTTTTTTTTTTTTTTTTTTTTTGAGACAGAGGCTCACTCTATCACCCAGGCTGAAGTGCAGTGGCACAATCTCAGCTTGCTACAACCTCCACCTTCTGGGTTCAAGTGATTCTCCTGCCTCAGCCTTCCGAGTAGCTGGGATTACAGGTGCCCACCACCACGCCTGGCTAATTTTTGTATTTTTAGTAGAGACAGGGTTTCACCATGTTGGCCAGGCTGGTTTTGAACTCCTGACCTCAAGTGATTCCCCCACCTCGGCCTCCAAAGTGCTGAGATTACAGGCGTGAGCAACCGTGCTCTCTACTTGTTCTTCTGAGAACCGTACCTCATCTTCTCTTCATTTCCTTCTCACAGAAGGTTGTTTAAATACATAGGTTCATCTTGCTTTTTCCTCTTTCTTCATTTCTAGATCACTTGGTCTTTTCATCATTCATATTTATGATAATAACTTTGTGCATAATGTTTTGATGTGCGTAGAAAAAACTAGTAGCCCAAAGGATTCTATCTTTCTCCCCCCAGTACCATGTTCCTCGTCAGAGAAGCCCATTGTTAACGGTTGGGTTAAATGGTGGGGTAGATGCATTTATATCAATTTAAGGAACTAAAAACATATGCATATGTGTTGTTTTTATGCTTTTACACAAATGGCATCATACTCCCATACCCATCTTGCCTTTTGCACCTGATTACTTTCTGGGTGGTGTTCCTTGTCGATATATAAAGATTGTTTCAATTTCTATTTCATAGTATGGATGTATTAATATCGTGTGACTTTATTTATGGATATTTAAGTTTTTAATTTCTTTTTATTATTGTAAACAGTGCCTCATGAACAACTTTCTCTGTATCTGCTTGCTCTGTAGTACCAGTGTTTATGGAGGTTATACCTGGTAGTTGGGTTTTGACTAAAAGGTACTGAGACTTAAATTTGCCCTCCGAAATCCTTCATAATTACTCCTTTCACTAAATGTAAAGACCAGATAATTTCTGTGTTCCAATTTTCCAGGCTATTAAAGATGAAAAGTCACCCGGTTCATTTTGTGAAGCCACTTAACCTGAAATTTGAGGAAGGTACTACAAAAAAGAAAATCATAGACCAGTTTCCCTTAAGAATATAAATGTCAAAATATGAAAAATATTCTGAATAGAACATTAACAGATTGCATTGGGTATTTCAAAAGCAATGGATGCACGTGGTAAAAAAGTTCAAACAAAACCTTTGTTCAACAACAAAAAGTTTTTTGTGGTTTTTGTTTTTTGAGCAGGGTCTGGCTCCATACCCCAGGCTGAAGTGCAGTGGTGCAATTTCAGCTCACTGCAACCTCCGCCTCCCAGACTCAACAATCCTCCCACCTCAGCCTCCCAAGTAGCTGGGACTACAGACACATGCCACCATGCCCAGCCAATTTTTGTATTTTTTGTAGAGATGGAGTTTTGCCATGTTGCCCAGGCTGGTGTTGAACTCATGAATCTCTCTCTGCTTACGCACAATCACTTGTTCTCTCCTGCATGTGCTCTCTCTCTCTCTTTCTCTTTCTCTCTTTAACAAGTTACAGTACATCCTGGTCTTTCTGGTCCTTTTTTTTTTTTTTAATGATCTTTTCATTTGTGTTAACTCTACACCAGGGTTTCTCAGTGTGGCACTATTGACATTTTGGTTGAGGTCATTATTTGTCGTGGGTTGCCTTCCTGTGCATTGTATATGTAGCAGCATCCCTGGACTCTCTACTAGATGCCAGTAGCGCTCCCTCCTCCAGTGTTGGCAACCAAAATATCTCTTGTCATTGTCAAGTATTCCCTGAGGAATAAAATTATCCAGTGTTTAAAACCAGTGGCCTACCCCATTTACAAAAATGGCTGCCTGATACTTCATTTGATGGTAATACCACTATTACCTTTCTCCTAATAATAGATATTTAGGATATTCCTAGTCTTTTGCTACCATAAACAACATAGCAATGTATAGTAGATTCCCATTGTGTGCATGTGAGAACATTTGTAGGATAACTTTCTAGATATGCAGTTTCTAGGTCAAAGTTTATGCATCTTGAATTTTGATTCAGAACTGTCAATTGCCTTCCAAATAGAATGTACTGATTTGCATTGCTGGCAACATTATAATGCTTTTTCCTATAAATGGGAAATCACAGTGTATTATCTGCTATGATTTTTGCCATTGTGAGGGACAAAAGAGTAGTGCATTTTAATTCGCTTTTCTTGATTTGAGTGTCTTTTTTCATTTTTAACCACCATTTGTACTTTTTTCTTTCAAATATTTATTCTAGTCATTTGCCCCCTTTTCTCTTGGGTGTGGAATTACTTTGATTGCTGGATGTTAGCTCCTTGGGTTAACTTAAGCAAATGAGATCTCTGTCATATATGTTGTCAATATTTTTCATCGTTTATTATTTGCTTTGATTTGTCTTATACCTCTTGGGGAGTGGACACAACATGTTTTTAATGTCTCATTTTACAATCTTTTGTGGCTTCTAGAGTTCTTGTATTGCTTATATAGGATTCTGTGAGTTGAGATTATAAAAATGGCATTTCAGTTATGTGGAAAAAATGGTGACTGAATGATGGTGGCACTGTTGAGTCTCCGTCTGGATGGAAAGAAAGTTAAACTCTTCTTTTTTTTTTTTTAAATTATACTTTAAGTTCTAGGGTACATGTCCACAACGTGCAGGTTTGTTACATATGTATACATGTGCCATGTTGGTGTGCTGCACCCATTAACTCATCATTTACATTAGGTATATCTCCTAATGCTATCCCTCCCTGCCCCCTCCCCACAATAGGACCCGGTGTGTGATGATCCCCTTCCTGTGTCCAAGTGATCTCATTGTTCAGTTCCCACCTACGAGTGAGAACATGCGGTGTTTGGTTTTCTGTTCTTGTGATAGTTTGCTGAGAATGATGGTTTCCAGCTGCATCCATGTCCCTACAAAGGATATGAACTCATCCTTTTTTATGGCTGCATAGTATTCCATGGTGTATATGTGCCACATTTTCTTAATCCAGTCTGTCACTGATGGACATTTGGGTTTGTTCCAAGTCTTTGCTATTGTGAATAGTGCCGCAATAAACATATGTGTGCATGTGTCTTTATAGCAGCATGACTTACAATCCTTTGGGTATATCCCCAGTAATGGGATGGCTGGGTCAAATGGTATTTCTAGTTCTAGATCCTTGAGGAATCGCCACACTGTTTTCCACAATGGTTGAACTAGTTTACACTCCCACCAACAGTGTAAAAGTGTTCCTATTTCTCCACATCCTCTCCAGCACCTGTTGTTTCCTGATTTTTTAATGATTGCCATTCTAACTGGTGTGAGATGGTATCTCATTGTGGTTTTGATTTGCATTTCTCTGATGGTGAGTGATGATGAGCATTTTTTCATGTGTCTGTTGGCTGTATGAATGTCTTCTTTTGAGAAGTGTCTGTTCATATCCTTTGCCCAGAAAGTTAAACTCTTTTACATCATATAAAAGTGAATTCCAGATTGATCAAATACCTAAATATATATTTGAAAAATTAAGTGAAAATGTAAGAGGATATTGGCATAACCTTGCTTAGTGCAAGAAACTTTTTTTTAATGGTACAATGTTTTTCTTTTAATGATCATTGGGACATCTTAAAATTCACTACCAAGTACACACATAAATAAGGAAACATAAGAAATGTCATAACCCAAGTACTTTTGAAACTACTACTTAGTTCCAAGCCCCAGCATGTATCAATTGTATGAATTAATTTTTTTTTTATTTAGAACCTGGATCTTTGTTTTAAGACTAGTATAAACAAAAATAAAATATAAACAACTTGTTATTAATATAATAGCTGTAGTTATTAACTGCAATAATACAGTAAAAAAGAGTCATACTAAATGTTAATGTTCTTGTAACAGAATTATCCATATCACCTTATGGTAGCAAATTCTGGCAAGAAATGATCATTCATTTCTTATTAAAAATACTTATTTCCAAGATTGATCAGTTATACCACAAATAAAACCACAGTTTATTTCATAGAGCGCTTACTTTTCTCTTTTTTTTTTTCTGAAAGATCTGCTATTTACAGGGAACTACTAATTTCAGATCAGTTACTCAAACCAGGGTTATTCCTATAAATTTACATCTTAACTTTATATATAGTAGATGTACACTCATATTCCCTCTCCAGTCTTGGAGCTAAACACTTTCACAAAAGAAACAACCTAAAATCACTTCATGTGAATCTTGGTTCTTACTTTTCTTCTACCTCATTTGTTCTTCCTCTTCATCACCAAAATTCTCTTCCTGCATGATGGTAAAGGAGAGAGATCTAGCAGCCACTTCTACAGCAAGGCCATCAGTGAAGGTAAAATCCAGTGACAGCTGTAGCCATGCCAGCCTCTGCTTAATGGAAGTCTGTAAGGACTCCCTGGGAGATGGAGGGGTAGTGGCCAGAATGCCTCCATCTGCTTGAGATTCATCTTTGCCTTCACATTGGTAATGCATTCTCTCTTCTGCTCCTTGGAGGAAGACTTCATTTGCAGAATTGTCTTTATTTTTACCCTCTAGAGCAAGCTTGTCCAACCCATGGCCCCAGGCCACATGCAGCCCAGCTTTGAATGCAGCCCAACACAATTCGTAAACTTTCTTAAAACGTTATAAGATTTTTGGCTGGGTGCGGTGGCTCATGCCTGTAATCCCAGCACTTTGGGAGGCCGAGGAGGGCGGATCACAAGTTCAGGAGTTTGAGACCAGCCTGACCAACATGGCGAAACCCTGTCTCTACTA